GTGTCTTTTCCAACCTTAATGATTCTATGATTCTGTGAACGCTCCCATTGCAGGGAAAGCTTCATCTGGGCACCGGCGTCGAGCAACAGCACGGCCCAGGGCCCCAGAAGGCAGACATCGTTGGGCCCGGTGCTCATCGGCAGGCGGGTCTTGAATATCTCCAGAGAAGGAGACTCCACAACCTCCCTGGGCAGCCTGTTCCAGGGCTCCGTCACCCTCAGAGGGAAGAAGTTCTTCCCCATGTTCAGGTGGAACTTCCTCTGCTTCAGTTTGTGCCCGTTGCCCCTTGTCCTGTTGCTGGGCACTACTGAAGAGAGTTTGGCCTCATCCTCCTGACACCCACCCTTCAGATATTTATAAGCATTTATAAGGTCCCCTGTCAGCCATCTCTTCTCCAGGCTAAATAAGCCCAGCTCCCTCAGCCTTTCCTTGTAGGAGAGATGCTCCAGTCCCCTCATCATCCTCATAGTCCTCCGCTGGACTCTCTCCAGTAGCTCTTCATCTTTCTTGAAGTGGGGAGCCCAGAACTGGACACAGACCTCCAGATGGGGATTCACTAGGGCAGTGTAGAGGGGGAGGAGAACCTCCCTCGACCTGCTGGCCACACTCCTCTTGATGCACCCCAGGATCCCATTGGCCTTCTTGGCAACTAGGGCACACTGCTGGCTCATGGTCAACGTGCCGTCCATGAGGACACCCAGGTCCCTCTCCGCAGAGCTGGTCTCCAGCAGGTAAGTACGTGGAGCTTCTGTGAAATGATATGTCTCCCAGGCAAGGTTTTGATTAGGCAGAGATTTGAATGTATGCTTGGATTTGTATCGATGGCCCTATTTAGTAAAGGCGCATGTGTCCTACTTCTTTTCTGTTCTTAGCGGTAGACCCCTTCAGTACGGCATATATTAAAATATCTGCTTGTGAACTTTCACTGCATCCATGCAGGTTATGTAAGGAGTACAGGTTCAATAGATGGCAGGGAGGAATGAATCTCATAGGAGCCTTTGTCTTTCGCAAGGTGCTCAGATACATCTAACAGACCTTGCCTTGCTGTAGCTGTGAAGAACAGATCACAAGGTCAGTCGGCTGTTACAACTTCTGCTTAATTGCTCCATGAGAATATACTGCATAACTGATCTAGAATATAAACATTTATAAACAGAAGTGGACTGTAAAATATTGAGTATTTTTAGCTTATATTTTTCCTGGACTTCCTGTTTTGATTTTTATCTTCACCATAAAAAACTGAAGGATAGTGAAAATGGGTATAATGGGCCTTAAGGCCCAAATGAATTTTTTTCAGCTGTGAAGATACTTCCCCAGAGTAAGTAATTTCACCACCAAACAATCTTACCAGCAAAATTGAATACATGACTATCTTTTCCTTTAGCACATGGCCCTGTCTACGTCTGCTGTAATACCACCCTTTTGAATATTGATTCCACTTCAGTGCTTGAGTTGAGACAGAAGAATGTAGATGCAAGTGGAAAATAAATGTAGATTTCCACAGCCAAAATGAGTGAAAGCTTGCTAAGCTCATGACAAGTGCTTTTCTCTAGTTTGGGAAATGTCCCTTCTTAAAATAACGAAGCAGTTGTCCCTTCTTGAAATAACAACCAGGCCCAGTCAACTCCCTGCAGACGTGCTCTGCAAAAATATTTAAAAACCCTGTTTCCCTACTGTTTCAGGGAATTTCCTCATGCAGTCTGATGCATGCAAGATACAAACTTCATATTCTGTATTTACAGTTTCATTCAAATTTATCCCAGGGTTTCTCTTTATAAGAATCTTTGCTTGTACTTTGCTTATAGAAGAAGTTCAAGCAACCTAGTTTCTAACATAAACAAATCAATAACATTATATACAATCTATTTTATTTCAGCTAATAGAATTAGATGTGAGATATTGACTGCAGAAACGAGAAATGAAACAGAAATTTCTCAAGACATAGGAATTAGTGCTAAATTCTGTATGCATGAAATACAAATTTTAAATTACGCACAGTAGACACAAAGCAGCATTGACACAGAGTCATTTGTCTATGCTGTAGCTTCCAGATAAATTTACCACAATGACTTCAGGTAGGCCTTCAGCTTTACTGACAATAAAAAAACACAAGAAACAGATGAAACCAAACCACAAATATTTCACCTTTTCTTCTGAAGATTTATTCAGATAAAGTGAAACAACCAAATCACGTGACAACTTAAAATAGATAGCACAGTTGTTAGCACAGTTTTGCATTTAGTATTTCCAGGAAAAGATTTTAAATTTAAGAGAATGAAAATAGTATTTCTTGAAGTTGTATCAAAAAGTAAGAATGGTCTAGCATAAAGAATTTACAAGTCCGTCTGGTTTTCTCTGAAGATTTGCTGTTCATCAGAGGCAAAAAAGTGTCTGTCCATCTGTTTGAGTAAGAAGTGCTTCCCTTCCGAATCAAAGATAAAGTTTTAGTAATTCTCTTTTCCTGAATGACCTGGGTGAGCTGAAAATTAGAAAAGAAACATGGAAATGTTTTGACTGTAGGAACTGCGAATCATTTGTTTCTCCCTTCACTGAATAAAAAAGTCTTCTCTGTTCTTTCCAGCTGAACCCGAGGTATTGTACAGATACCCAACCTTGTTTTACATCAATTAACCCAACAAGAGAAGATACACGTTGGGTTTCCTCATCGGGTGGCAAAGGTCTGATAGGAGGCCACGTCCACTTTTTAATACATCATTGACACTTTACATGTCTGCTATAAGCCCTTCTATTCTTTTTTGAAACAAATAGTCTCAGCCTGTCTCTCCCCCTGATGGGGACTGCTTTTTCATGCTGAAATCCCGGCTTTCTTAAAATCAGCAGAAGTTTTTACACTGAATTTAAGCAGGGTCAAGATTTTACTCTCATTTTTTGATCATTTTAATTAATGATTTCAATTGATCTCTGTATCCTGCATTACACAGACCACTCAGATGAACACTTGTCATTCCTTTGAGTGAATTAGTTAACTATGTCCTTTTTTTTTCTCCATTTTTAACAAATCAAAGTGTTTTATTTGCTCCCTGCCAACAGAGCTACGAACAGCGTAACATCCATCTCTCTGCGCCCTGATTTGCAGTATATTGTATGTTATGGAGGTGTGGAATTGGATTAAGAGCTACAGCACGGTGCTCTGCAGATAGACTCACTGCAGGTGTGCAGTTTTATAGGATTTTAATTTGGTAACAAGTGAACAAAGAGAGGAAGCCCAGAATGGGATTTTCTAGATGAAAAAAATGCTATTTGTGCTGAGAGAAAGCAACTGCAAGCTCTGTGATAAGGAATAAAGATTGGGCCAATGCTCTCTGAGCTGCACTTTTATAGATTACAGGTCACTCAGAGCATCTTTGTTACTGCCACCGTTTCAACAATTCTTAGTTCATACTGCGAGCGTTTGGCTGTATAGCATTTCATCTGCCACACTCCCCATCAAGCCAGTGTGTTTAAATCTTATATCATCTCACTCCCCACCCTCTACATTTTGTCATATAAAAATAATGTTTTCCTCAGGAGATGTCACCAACTTGGCATATATTCTGTCTTCAAGATTATTAACAATTATTTTCATGCTTCAAATTAAAAAAAAAAAAGATTCAGAAATGTGCTGCACTGTTCAAAATAAATGGAAAAATATGGTCTCTCTGCCGAGGAGTGTGGTTTATATTCAGCATGAACTAGGAATGGAGGACCACAAACAGATGGGGAAGGAAGAGGAAGAATGAAGGTGACAACTAAAAGATCATGAAGGGATCTGCTAAGCCACAGACACATATTGATGCTGCTGCTATTGGGCCAAGGTTGGGAGATTCTTTTCTGATTTCTGTTACCAGTCCTCCTTCTCATTTTTCTAGGGTTTCACAGCAAAACGGAGTTTTTAGCACTAATTTCAATGAGATGAGGGTGGAGGTGCTATGAACAGATTTTTTTCCCAAGTGTAACAGGCTGTAGAGAAGGCATAGAAATGCCTTGTGGGACAAGATGAAAAAGATACGGAGGTTGGTGGTGTTGGCAGAGAACGAGTGGAGGAAGGGAACTGATGAAAGACACTGGGTCGCAGAGAGCTGCAGAGGTAAAGGAGCTGAAAGGAAGGATTATGAAGTGTACCCGTGATGCACAGAGTGATGTGTCAGGCAGCAGCAATGCGGCCCAGAAAACAGCAGCATGGCTGGTGGATGCCACTAAGGCTGCAGAGCGTTTGGACACCCCGCAGAACAGGTCGTGGCCAAAGGGGGATTAGTCAGGAGCAGGAACAGATGGTTGCCTGGGAGTGTGATGATGATTTTTGGTGATCAAAAGTCGCAGAACACAAATCCTCATGCAGTGGGAATCTATTCAGGGCAGAGATGGCAATACGAACAAAGTGGTGGGTGATGGAGATGCTTTTGGCAGTTGTGTATTTCAGCAACCTGTGGAATTAGGATTGACACCCAGAGAAGGAGCCTGCAACAGCTGGGGGGGGAGCTACCACCCATTTGAAGGACACAAGTAGGCAGAAGGGCTCATTCACTCTGCCACAGCTCCTGAAACTTCTCAGCTTCTGAGCCGCAGGTTCAAGTTTTTCAGCTCTCTCACAGACTGCAAACACTTGAACCACAGCATCAGCAGGCTCGTACTAGACTCTTTCATATCACCAGTATCAGCATCTGGCATGTGGGCTGTTAGAGTCCATCAGTTGTAGGGATCTTTCATCTCTAAACTCTTGATACACTCTCCCAATCCTACACTTTCTCCTTCCCTCATCCATACCTTCTCTCAAATCGTCCTACTCCGCATTTCATGTTTTATATCCATCCTCTCTCACTCTGACACTCCTCGTCCCTCACTCTAATCAGCCTTGCTCTCTTCTTGAGATCACATACAAAATATGCAGAAGTGTTACACATGATTGTATGCACGTCACATGTACAGACAAACCCTGGGTCAGACCTTTGTCTGCTGACACCCGCAGAACAGCATTGGTCATAGCGGGCTGTACGAAAGCACGTGCTGGCAGCACAGTGAAAGAGCATAGGAAGCAGGGCAGATACCAAGTAAGCTTTCTGCTGGTTTATCTCCTAATTTCTGACCATCATGGTTTAGAGATTCCTTTCTCACAGCCTGCGCCCAGTTCGGTTTGGTTTTTGAGGTTAAGGTGACATGGCAGGGTATGTCATTATATTACATTTGAAAAATAATGACAACTGTCAAACATGCCTATTACAGATATAAATCGTTCTTGATTTGTCCACTTCGTGCCTTCTTTCTCCCCTCCAGTTTTTGTTGTTGAGCTAGTTTTAGCATATTTAAAAACAAAGGTCCTCCAAGTGTCTTTATAACTAATAAAGATGTTTTTAAAACGGTCCATTTCCAGTCCTGGTCCTAGTTTATGGAAGCGGAATACATCTTGGAAAGTGCTGGATAAACAGTAAAGTAACTATAGAAGGATGACTCTCAAAATGTAATTTTCTTTTTGAGTCTTGGTGCCATTAACATTTGTCCAGCACTGTTTTCTGGAAAACACGATGTTCTCTAAGATTTAAGACAAATGCTGTTATTGCATGGAAGAGAAATCTGAAAACAGCCTAATGTCTAATTCGTCGCTTGTGTTAAGCACAGAGGCTTGATCCATGTTCCCCTATGTCCTTATATTTAGCCTTGCATCCTAGGAAGACTTAGTCTATCTTGTTTTCTACCTGTATGTCATCCTGTATCATAGGAAGTCTGAACCCCTGGACTGACAGCAAGAAGGTCTGGTGGAGCAGAAAGGTCTCAAGGATTTCATACTTCCGCATGTTTTGATAAAACTAATGGGTATGTGGAGGT